AGCATCGCTAGCTACAAGCGAGGGTCCCTGGTTCGAGTCCTGGTGGTGACAGTTAATTTTTTCTTCAGACTTTTCCCGTTTGTCTCTTTCCCTCAAACTAGTGAAGATTATTATTATTTGAACTTGTATCCATATGTCTTTTTCTCTTCCACATTTATTTATGGCTCAACATCCGAGTTTCAAATTATTATTATTATTATTATTATTATTCAAAGGATCAGTTGGGGAAGTGAACTGCCTGAAAAGAGAAAAAATCGCCAGACCCACCAGGACTCGCCGGGACCTTGCTTGTCATGAGCAATGCTCTAACCACTGAGCTATGGGACCAGGCTGAACCTAGAAGGCGATTTTTTCTCTTTTCAGGCAGTTCACTTCCCCAACTGATCCTTTGAATTTGAAGTTCTCCCAATCCTTTCAAAAATTATAATAATTATTATTATTATAGACAACACCTCATGGCACGAGAAGAAAATCAGCCAGTACGGGAGATCTGGGTGTTAACCAACCATGGTGAATAAAAGAAGAAAAGAAGAAAAGTAATGGTCAAGACGGAGAAGCATGGGAGCGACAGGTGATGGTGAATCTAGTGAGCAGATTTAAATGCGTCCAGGGTACTGGCATTGCGCGTAGTAGCGGGTAGCGCAAGCCAAGCAGAGTAGGCAACAAAGAGTGGAGAGCGTACAAGGGAGGACGTTTTAGCCAAGGGGAGGGTAACAGAGCATCTTGTCTGGGAGCCATCTGTGATTCGGAACCAGTTATACACGCTAAGATGAGGAGGATGTAGAGCTAGTTTAAATTTCTGAGCAAAAGTGCAAATTAATTTTTGACGGTGGGTCGACAGTGGGCAAGCATTTGCAAGGACATACAGGGAAGCAGAAGAGTAGAGAGGGGGTAGACTAAACAGGATACGAAGAAGTTTTCTATGGTGGATTTCGAGACGCTCAGCGAGAACCGAGGACAAGCCACACCAACTAACAGCAGCGTACATCACAAGAGGCAGGATGTACAGTTTGTAAAACAAAATTTTACATTTGACAGGAAGATGGAAACAATGGGGACGTATAACACCTTGGGCAGAGCTTGAACGGCTGCAAAGAGCATCAATATGGTAAGACCAAGAGAGACGATCATCAAGCATTATTCCCAGGTGTTTATGGTTGGAAACAACCTTTATGGGTTCTGGGAAATCAGGATGGTGTAAAAGTGACATGGATGAGATTGGGGGAAGGAACATTATTTCGGTTTTAGTCAGGTTGGGTCTAAGTCGCCATGTTTGCATCCAGCGTAGGACACTGCATATCTGAGCCGACACTCGAGGTACAAGAGCCGCTGAGGACGAGGATGCTGACAGTAGGGTTGTATCATCAGCAAATAACGAGACACCTGGGTCTATAGAGGGTAAATCATTTACGTATGCTACGAACAAAAGAGGTCCAAGTATGGAGCCTTGGGGAACTCCAGAAGACACTGGTAGGGGGTCAGAGTTGATGGAGAGGGCAGAAATAAACTGTGATCGGCTACTCAGATAGGACTCCAGCCAGGACAGAGCAGGGCCAGACACACCAAAGACAAGGAGCAAGGAGGCCACGATGGTACGGCATTGGCCGTCGATTTCCTGAACTGCGTAGACCTCTACAGGCCTATGAAGTATACGAGGGAGGGGGGGGGGGGGGTGCTGGACATCATAATGCATAAACTTTCTGAGTCCTACATACATGTACCATAATTATTATTAATTTTATGTCATGTACAGTCACGTAGATCTACATTAGCAATGCGTTAATTAGCTGCACACAATGTACTTCGATATACATGTAGATCATTACATGTACAGTGTACAGTACATGATATAGTCCAAAACTGGTAAACCAGTATTAGATAAACCTTGTTGTAGTTCACGCAATTGTTAGATTGACAGCATGAAACAACATGGGCAGGAGTTGAAAATAAAAATAAAAATAAAAAGAAGTTTTTATACAAGTTAAAAAAGAGCAAAGGCAACAAGACGACATCAGGAGTAGTCTCCTAACCCCTAGCATAACGAGGGTCAGAACCGGGTGTGATACCCATATGGTTCAAATGGTCCGCGGGGACCGGGGCTCTGCCAGCCGCGGAAGGTTGTAGTAAGGTCACTGTCACTGAAGAAAAGAAAAAGAAGTAAGGTCACTGTTTTCGAACACAGTGTCCTCCACCTTGTTTCATGCTGTCAATCTAACAATTGCATGTACAGTACATGTACATGTAGCTCTCGGATCAAGATTCTGCCCATACCCATACATTCACACATCACATATTTTACAGACTCAGTGCAGCTCAAAGTAATCCAAAAAAGCAGCGTGTAAAACTCGGATGGAGAGCCAAGGATTATTTTATAGTAAAGAAAAGGACCAAAGAACTACAAGCCACGCTATAATGTCCACTGACACCACCAGTTACTAAACAATCAGCTCAAGCGATAACGTTGCATGATACTGACCGACGGTACTGACGTTCTACAACTAACTGGCATATCAGCTCTAGCACGTCTTGGATGCCCACTCCAACAGCCTTCCAACTAGGGTCCAGCGGATAATGCTCCGAAAATGTTCGTATAATGCTACTCATAATGCTCCAAAAGCTACCTTATAATGCTGATTATAATGCTTCAACAAGGGCTATAATGCTCTTGGGTTGGGTCAGAAAGGAGGAATGGCTGCACATATTCAATCTGCCGCTGAATCCGGCGCAAATTTCCCACAAGCTCCACCACATCGTAGCACTTTGACATAATCGAGTCGCCAGTGGTTACTCTACATAGCAGCTTTGACACAGGGCTGTGGCTGAATAGTTATATCATATACATGTACATGTACTAGTACTTCGGAAGTACTATCCCGACATTATCCAGGGAGTGGCAGGTGTAAACTATGGTAGGGATCATCGGGATGAGGCTTATCATGGCAATGGGTAGTGTAGTATCCCTGCTTTACAGTTTACCCACATGACTAGTAGTAGTACATGTATTTTGCATGACTCTTATAATTACTTTTGTTACTACTTTCGGACAAGTCCTACATCATGTACCTCACACATGACTTGACTACATCAGGAGTAACGCACTTCTAGAACTAGTAGAAGATCATAGATCTTCCATGCAGGCTGCTGTCATCACTTCTAGTATCACTTCCTTTTAGTTACATGTACATTTAGTACAGTCATGTGCAGTCATGTATGTCATGTTGTTCCGGACTGTTCAAGACCTTCCACGTCATACAGTGTATGCCCGATGAGTAATGTTGCTGACTAAATTGCATAATATAGATATCTCACCTTCTAGAATACCTTGCTTAGTCATTTAGTTAATGTTACGCAATGCTCACTTCATCTACATGTATAGCAATGATGATCTAGGTTTGCATTCTCCACTATTCTAGAACTTGTAGAAGGATGATTTCGTAATCACTGGCTTACCAACTATAGTTTCCTACCTTCGCCTGCTCTGCTATACATACTTTGCTTGCCTATAAAAGTTGCTGTGTTTTCTCCGCCAAGATCACATTAGTGAAGAGATCGGAGAGATCCGATAGATCAGAGAGAGAGCAAGATAGAGTTCTGTACACTTCGGAATATTGAATATAAGATAACCTCCAGGCCGTGCCGGAGTAAGTTCTGATACGTTCGTTGACTGACTGTGGGTAGTGCCTCCTTGCCTTAGACCGTGCATACTACAGCAGTCCTGCCTGCAGACAGGCTGTCACTGCACTGTTTAGTGAATAATCTTTTCATCTGAAACAGCAGATATTCTGCTGATCTTGGATCCAGATCCCTTCCATTTGCGGTGAGCGTGAAAAAAAGTGGGCAGATTATTGTGCTGCTCAACTTCCTTTACTTTCATAGTCTTCTTCTCCTTGTGGTGTTGCTCCTTCTGTTGTGGGTGGCAATATTGACAAGAATACTCTTCTTCGTTAAAAGCATTAGTCTCAGTGACTGCTCTCTTGGGAGCACAGCCGTCCACATCTTACTGTACGTGTTTCATCCGGAAACTCAGACACGCGCTGCTGCAGAGTGCTCATAACGACTTGGTGCTGAATCCATGAGCAATTCTAATTCTTTTCGAGCCAGTTCGGCTGGACTTCGCAACAGTTCGTCGGAACAACATGCATCTCTTTCTGCTTGTAGCTTCTCTTTAAGCCTGGTCCAAATTTATCAAAGGATCGGCGTCTACTTTAGTATCGCGACTAGCCTAGTGACGATATCTTCAGAGCCTGAGGCACAGCGAGAAACTTCTCTTCGGCGTTTCGATATTCACTTTGCCAACATGACTCTCTATGTTTTCAACAAAACAGTTTCCTCCTTGCAAATCCTTGTTGCGAATTTTTGCAATAGCTTTGGTTGGGCGCACGTAGAAAGTCATTGTATTGACAAGACTACATATCGTACAATCATGTAGTCATTTCTGCATCAAGTGCTAAAAAGTGTTACGTGTCTACACAAAGTGATCCAAGATCCATAGAGAGAGAACGCGGAATCAGATGAGATGCGGAAGGATAAGTTCGGATTGAGATTTTGATGACAAGAGTTTTCCTAGATTGCTAGAAGAGCCTATTCATAGCGCATTCATAGCGTATCATGATGATGCCAACGGATCACGCGATATTGACAGTACTAGACGCTTGAGGTACACATTTACATGTACATGTACATGCAACATTAACTCTGAAACCAAGATAAAAACCACCTCAAACTTACATGTACATGAGGTATGCATACAAAGACAAAGTGTGTACCCACAGTATGATTCAGGCAATCTACTAATTTTTTAACCCTCTTTACGGGCAATCACAGAACATGATTTCACTGGCCTGACCACGCCAACAACTGCAAAGCAAAACAAAACAAAAATGTAAATAAATAGTTCAGTCAATCGGCATGCTACAATTAACACAGCAAGAACACAACCACATTATCTGTGTGAGGCGCAAACATGGGTGATGGAAAATGTGGAGGACGGGAGACACTGTTCAAGCATCGTGCGTTTTGACGGCATTAATGTTCGCCTCGAGTTGGGCAACCTGGAAGTTGATGCCAGCTTGCGACTTGATATCTGTGTCCTTGCTATCCCATGTTTTCACTGCTGTCAGGAATGGCCCCGACGCCTTCATGAAAGCATCCTTGGCCTTCTTGACAGCATCCTCAATCTTGCCAACATCCTTCTTTTTGGCCACACCTGCTACGTTGATAACGGATGGTTTAATGGCGGCAAGAAAGTTTTCCACTTCAGTGTTCATCTCGGAGCTAAACAGAAGTCCTTCCGACAGTTTGAGGCCATCAGGCAGTTTTGTGACTTTTCTCAGTTTACCTTTCTTGATGGCAGCCGTGATCTGATCATTGCACTGCTTCAGATTTGTCTTGGCATCTTTCATGGCCTTGTCAAGTAGTTGGAGCATCGTCTTGATTCTGTCCTTGGCTTCCAGAGTATCCACTATCTTGATGGTGTTTCGGATGAGTTCTTCGATCATGGATGCGACAATTACTGCCTTGATAACTTTCTTGACGATTTTACTGGCCCCCTTACCGGCAGCCTCCTCAACGGCCTGATCGACGGCTTCTTCTGCCGCTTGTTCACCTGCTTCCTCACCAGACTCCGCTGCCACGTCAGCTACTGTTTCGGCCGCTGCTTCTCCAGCGGCTTCGGCCGCTCCTTCGGCCGCTGCAGCTGCTGCAGTCTCAGCAGCAGCCTCGGCACCTGCTTCAGCTGCTGTCTGGGCAGCCGTCTCAGCGGCTGCTTCGGCCGCACCTTCGATTACTTCTGCCGTATCAGAAGCCACCTCAGCAGCCACCTCAGCAGCCGCCTCAGCTGCTGCTTTCTTTTCAGCTCCTGCTTTTGCAGCCGCCTTAGGTGCTGCCACAATGGCTGCTTGAATGGCTACTTCAGCAGCAATTCCAACGACAATACCCATGTTCTTTGTCAAAATGTAGAATGCACTATTCCTCTCAGATTGTGCGATGGGAACACAAAGTGAATAAGTGGTCGGAGTGGCGCATGCAAGTCAAATATATACTCTTCTCTTCCCGCAACCCACAGCAAGGCGAGGACAGCAAGGCGAGGACGCGCAGTGCTCCTGACTACAACCATAACCCGGTTGGCAGAGTGCCGGTCTTGCGACCATTGGAACCGTATTGGGAAAACGAGGTCGCAAGACCGGTGACCCTTGCAAAGGGGACATCAGGCGCGTGCACCGCGTGGTTTTCTTGGAGCCCGGAAACCACCTTTTTGCGGCCAGCGATATTTTTGCTGCAAGCGCAACATGCGGTGCGTGTGCACTGTCACAGTGATCCATAATCCCCCGGGGATTTATGGAATCTTGGACTCTTGGCCCTATAACACATTCCTTGGCTTGGGCGTGGTATATTACTACATTGGGCGCTTTCGATTACACGCATTTCGGTCAACACGCTAAAATATGACCACAGACCAAAAATTCGATTTTCAGTTTATTTTGTTCAAAAATGACTGTCACAGTGTGCGTAGATGCACGCAGGGATAAGCCTTACTATATCTTGTATAGTCCAGTCTACAGTGGCAATAAGTGACTCGTTTTATCTAATAGTTGTCAAAATCGAAAAGCTCCGTACATGCAGTACTAATAATAATAATAATAATAATATTGACTGGTTTGAGGGAAAGAGACAAACGGGAAAAGTCTGAAGAAATAATAATAATAATAATAATAACAGCTCGCATGTACCCCATGGGTGAGATCACCCATGGGGCTAACGCATCTGTCGGCAAAATAGTTAGAGAAAACGAGAAATACATGACACACACCTTCTTCATTCTGTTATTGCAGGGAAAAACTACCTCGACTCCACCATGAGCCTAGGCATGAGGAATATAATATTAAGTACAGAATGTTATTTACCAAAAGGATATTCAAGTAAGCGCAGATATTTTTTTAGCATGATAAGTTAGTACATTGATTCACAATGCCGAGCCAAGCTTCCCTGTCTTGGGAAATAGCTTCCGCTTCGGCAATGGAAACGTTTATTCACGGTCTTTAAGTCATTACTACTGTACATGTTATTGTACACTGTACTCAGCAGTAGCGGTGGGTACGTGCACTACTGTACACTTTCCTGCCTTTCACACGAAAAGTGCATCTACGCACACAGTGCACGCGCACCGCATGTTGCGCACGCAGCAAAAATATCGCTGGCCGCAAAAAGGTGGTTTCCGGGCTCCAAGAAAACCACGCGGTGCACGCGCCTGATGTTCCCTTTGTGAGGGTCACCAGCACGCCGGGATAAGCCTTGACTGTATCTTGTATAGTCCAGTCTGCAGTGGCAATGAGTGACTCGTTTTATCTAATTAATATTTGCACGTACAAAGTGAGTCTCTCTTAGTTCAACCAAGACTTTGGCAAGAGTACATAACCCCGGGTGTAACAGGTTTAATCAAACTTGAAAAGTAAGAGGCCTGGTTGAGCGTGCCTCGACCAGTTATATGCAAAATGTGATAGTATACATGTGGCAATGGCGCCAATGAAGGTGCTAATAGACAGGCGTAAGACGCATGAGGTGCGAGGGAGTGTAAAGTTATAGAGAACAGGGGAAAACTGTTACATCATCCCCCTCCTATGGAGAGGAAGGAGCTTATAACCCAAATGCTCAAGTGGAATAGAGTACAATAAGCGCAAACACGTGCGAGACGAAAAAAGGCTTCGCACTGAAGTAACACAATAAGACGACTGAAACTCCATGCAAATAAAGTGTAATAAGCTCAACAAATGTGTAAGGTGAAACTAGAAGTTCAACTGCAAAACTCAGCGGGCAGAAGCCAAGGTTTTGTACTTCTGAAGTGGAACAATGTCATTACCAGATTCATCCAACAAATAATGTTCAGGCTCCCAAGTGGCATCAGAGTAGCCTTGCCACTTGACTAGGTACTGAAGCTGATTCTGCCGGCGGCGGTGACTGAGAATGTTCTCCACCACATAGCGGGCATGACCATCAAGGTCCGTGATAGGCGGAGGCGTAGGCTGTCTCCTATTAGGAATAGCGTTCTTCTCGTAGGCACGGAGTGCCGACACATTAAATACCGGGTGACAGCGGCTGGTATGAGGCAACTTGAGCTTGTAGGCATTCGGGCCGACCACATGGGTTATAGGAAAGGGGCCAAACCACTTGGGGCGTAATTTATGGGATGGTCGGTCCCGAGCTTCAGGAGTCAGGAGGAAATCCCGGTAGACCATTACCAAATCTCCCACCTTCAGCTTTCCCTCGACCCTTGTCCGATCTGCATAGAAGGCCTGACGAGCTTGAGCTGCCACTAGCGCATCTTGTGAGATCTTGACCGCGTCTTGTCTTGCTTGCAACCAATCAGCTGAATCTCTGCCTCCCTGAATAGGGTTGAGGAAGTCGGGTGGCGCTCTGGGATTTAGACCGTAATTTAAGAAGAACGGTGTGTTTCCTGTAGATGATTGAGTAGCGCTGTTGATAGAAAACTCACAGAGAGGTAGGAGCATATCCCAGTTATCTTGTTTATGATTTACAAAAGCCCTCAGCACATCCTCTACTATTCTGTTTACTCGTTCAGTTAGGCCATCTGTCTGAGGGTGATTGGCAGTACTAAATGCTAGTTTCGTTCCTAAGCGATCAAACAATTCCTGAAAAAATGCTGCCGTAAATCTTGGATCACGATCACATACAATACTAGAACTCAAACCATGAAGTCGAAATACATGTTGGATATACAGATCAGCACTTCCTTTAGCGTCAATAGTAGAGGAAGTAGGTGCTAAATGTACACACTTTGTCAAGCGGTCTACAAATACATATATAGCATCATGACCTGTATCGGTCCTAGGCAAACCCATGATAAAATCCATCGAGATATCCGCCCACGGCTGACTGGGCACTGGTAAATTCTGCAAGAGACCAGTTTTTAGCTGGCCGCCTTTAACTCGTTGGCAGACGTCACATGACTTGACAAACGCCTTTACATCCAGTCCCATTCTGGGCCAATAGAAATATCTAGAGAGTCTGAAATAGGTGCGATCTCGACCGGGATGCCCCGCAGTCACACAGTCATGGTATTCTTGAAGCAGGGCGAGTCGGAGTTTGCTACTCTTTGGAATGCATAACCTGTTCTGTGGTGAAGATCTGAGATAAAGATAACCGGGTGTTTCATTTAGAAGGTAACGGTCGTGCAGATTGTCATGGCTTGAATTTTTCAGTCTCCTGATAATGGGAGCAAGATCCTTGTCGCACTTGTAACCGCTTACAATTAACTGCGCTAAGTCTGGATTAATCTCTAGGGTATGCTCTATGGCATTCAACTGAATGTTAGGAGGATAGGATGACCCGCCTATTTCAGAATCACTGAACAGATCTGGACGGCGTGAAAGCGGGTCGGCAATGTTTTTCTTTCCTGGTTTGTGAAAGACCGTAAAGTCATAGTCAGCTAAAAACTCTACCCATCTTGCCTCACGCTTGGTGAGAGTCGGTTTGGTTCGTAAATAGACAACACCCATATTATCAGTCATCAGGTCAAAGTGGCGGAATAGATAGATTCTCCAGCACTTTAATGCAAATACCACAGCCAACGTTTCCCTCTCGGCCGCAGTATAGTTGCGTTCTGCAGCTGACAGTTTCCGACTACAATAGGCTACGGGATGCAAATCCATATCTTCTCCCTGCTGCAGGAGCACACCCGCCACGGCAAAGTCACTTGCGTCAGTTTCTACCATGAAGCTTTTCTCAACATCGGCCAGTTGCAACACTGGCGCCTCGAGTAATGCTGATTTTAGAGACTCGAATGCCTTCTGTCTAGCAGCGCTCCATTCAAAGCGTGAATTTTTTCCGGTGATTTCTTCTAATGGACGAGAGATGGTCGAGTGTCGGTCTATGAACCTTCGGAAATAGTTTGCAAAGCCAAGAAACTTCCTCACATCAGTTACTGACGACGGAGTTGGCCATGTTTCCACAGCACTTATCTTCTTGGGATCAGGGGAAATTGATGTGCCGTTGATTTTATGCCCCAAGAAGAGAACTTCTCTCACGCCGAATTCGCATTTAGACTGTTTGCAATACAGCTCACTATTTCTAAGTGTTTCTAGAACTGTTTGAAGATGATGCTGATGATCTTCCCAGGTCTTGCTGAAAACTAGAATGTCATCCAAGAATACTACAACGAATTTTCGGAGATGCGGTTGCAGAATAGAGTTCATGAGTGACTGAAAGGTGGCCGGGGCATTAGTCAGCCCGAATCCCATGACTCTAAATTGGAAGTGGCCGAACGGCGTGTTAATGGCCGTCTTAGAAACATCCGAGTCTTGAATTCTGATTTGATTGTAGCCTGACCGCAAGTCCAACTTGGAGAAATATGCACTGCCCTGGATCGTGTCGAATAAGTCATCAATATTAGGAAGACAAGCTTTGTTTTTGATCGTAATTCTATTCAATTCTCGCCAATCGCACACCATTCTCAGAGTACCATCCGACTTTTTCACAAAAAACACAGGTGCACCGTATGGCGACTTACTTGGCTCAATGAATCCCTTCTCAAGTAATTCTGATAGCTGTGACTGGAGCTCGTCCATCTCTGGTTTCGGCAGGCGGTAGGCGGGTCGAGACGGTGGTCTGGCTCCATCTTCTATCTGGATTTCATGGTCGACTGGTCTCTTCGGTGGAAGCTCATTCGGCAGCTCGTCTGGAAATAAATCCTGGTACCTCTTGAGCAGGTTCTGGATGTCTTGTTGCTCTGATTCCTGGAGTTGTGGCCCGGAACGATTCTCCTCGTTTGCAGCAGTGACCCATGCAAGAAACCCCTCGGCTCCACTCCTCAGGGCATGACGAGCTTGTCGGCCACTGATAAACATGCTTTCCACAGATGGCCGGTCGGCTGTCGGCGGGTTAGCTGAAGGCAATTTGGCAACAAAGGGCTCACCGTCCAACTGAA